CGAGGCGCCCCGGGCACCTTCAGCACCCCGACCGACACTCGGTCCCACCCCGGATGACGGCCCTGGTGCTTGCAATGCAGCCGTGCTGCTTCAGGTCAGCATTTAGCATGAGTAAAGCAGTTAATGCTTCACCACATGATGACCCCCGCCCACCAGGAGGAAGCACTTAGCACAATTAGCACCCACCGTGTAAAACCTGACGGCATTTCGCAGGGCAGCGCCTGGAATTCACGCCAAGGCTGCTCCTGGCACAGCCCCAGCAGAGAGATCTCCAGCATCCCTGGTTCCCACCTCCCCTTGTGTCACATCCTGTCACCTGCGCCTGGCTCACCACCTGCAGCCTCACCCAGACCGGTGAAAAGGGGATCCCAGTAGAGAAGATGTTGCTTAAAACGTGCTCACTGTTGTCTGTTGTACAAGTTCCTGATAAGAACTGAGAAGGTGCCTTGAGAACCAGCTAAAACCCACCGTGAAGGCTGGACAAGAGCCAAGGAGCAACTGAGTCTGCGCCAGAACAAGGGGTTACTGGCGGTGACGAAGAGGAGTCATCGGCCTTCATCCCCCACGATCCCCGTGACCCCCACCAGGAGACACTGTGCAAGCGCAGTTGAGAGGAGTTTATGGAAACGACTTCTTGGGGCTCATTTTAATACGAAGCAGGGACAAGTCATGCATATGTATAGGCGTATTTGGGAATATTATGTATATGTAACACTTTGTCGTATCGCTTCAAGGCAAGCTACCACACGCGCACGCACGACTTTGGTGGGACTGCCCCCCCGTGCTGCCCAGCACTGAATAACCATACCTACTGTACAGTCTTACAGATTGGGGAGGCCATTTTCCGCACGTCACTGGCTCCCGGTAGCGCCCCTCCTGCCTGCAGGGATTAAAACATCCGCTCAGCAAAACAAAACATCCCAGACCATGACGACGGGCATCCTCCCAGCCTCTCTTTTACTTTTGTAGTAACTGCAAGTGCTTTGCACTCCCGTACCTTCAGCCAGGCATCATACCCCTGCAGGCAGAGACAGCCTCAAGGGCCTGAGCGCTGCTGTGGCTCGCCAAGTGCCACCAGGCAGTAAAGAAACTGGCCACTAAAGAAATAATAAAAAGCTTTAATGTCTTACAGTAAACCAATAATTGCACAGTATAAATAGTTAACAGACAAGTTCAAATAAATAACAGATGGTTCAACACACATCTCTGTTCAAAAGCAAACTGTGACCTCAGGGGATGGGCTTTGTCTTGTTTTGACGAGGGGCTCCACGCCCCAAACCGTGATTGAATCCGTAGTGCTCTGCAGCTTTGCTTGGGAAGTCATCGCTCCGGTGGGAGCTTTGATCTGCAGAGTCTGGACCCCGGCGGCTGGAGGCGTTGGGTAAATGCCCAGCAAGGAGGCAGCAGGGGCCGCTCATCGCCTCCGCTTTGGCAGAGACAGCCCCCCCCTCCAGCTTGCAGCCCTTCCCGGTGAGGTTTGCTTCCCAGCCAGTAATTTCTCATCTGCTGTGCGTTTAAGACATTTTGCTTAATAAAGTAAAGATTTACCTCGCGCTCCAGATCAGCCCGGTGTTTACCTGCAAATCCTCACAGCAGCAGGCAGGCAAGCACCGCCCCCCACTTTGCAGGTAGGTACAAAACAACCCCAAAAGCAGACACAAAATTCCCCGCTGAAGCTGCATGACGTGGCGTGGCCAGGGCTAGGGCGAAACTGCGGGACATCTGGAGGTCCAGCCCCGCATTTCCTTCATTCTGGCTCATTTTTAATGACTAACGCTGCCCTACATTTTACAGGCTGCCTTGCAAGTCCCCGCTTAATGCCCAAAAAGATTTACTGATGCCAGCTGGGTCAGAAGGGCCGTGGCCAGGAGAGGCACGGCCAACAGGGACACATCCAGCACCGGAGGTGGCTGGGAACCTGCTGCACTCAAACAAGGAAGGGAACATGGAAAACAGGAATCTCTCATCGGGCAGACCCGGGCTCCCCAAATCGCCGGCCCAGCCCCCGGTGCTCGCCATCCAGCCTAGCGCCGGGGTCTGGAGCCCCTTCACGTGAACAGCTCTGCGCGCAGCGCTGGCGGAGGTCAAAGTGGCCGCAGTCGGCGTTGCTCCCACGCGGGCGTTACTCAACGGGCTTCACTTTTGCAACGAACAAGGCGGTGGCTTTCTTCAGGAACTCCTCCCGGCTCATGGAGGTGCCGAGCTTCCTCTCCTGCAGCGCCCGGTCCATGGCCAGAGCCAGGCCATCCGGCCCCAGCTTGGAGCCCGCCTCCAGGTAGCGGTTGGGGAGAGAGAAGTGGCCGGCGCCCAGCGCCTCCTCCAGCGCCCGCAGCACGGCCTGGCAGACCCTCCCGTCGGCGGTGCC